GCAAGGGTATGCCCTCATCCCAGTCTTTCTCATATTCAAAACAGAAAGCTCTAATCATGGTCTTAAGCGTCTGATGGTAACGCTCTAGAGCTCCTTGAGACTCTGGGTGATAGGCACTTGACTTACACTGTTTGATACCCAAGGTATCCATGACTTGTTGGAATAAGCCTGACATGAAATTTGAGCCCTGATCAGACTGGAGATCTTTTGGCAGTCCAACTAAGGTGAAAAATTTGATGAGTGATTTCACTATGTTTTTGGCTTTGATATTTCTAAGTGGAATCGCTTCTGGAAACCGTGTGGCCATACAAAGAATAGTGAGTAAATATTGATTACCAGATTTTGTTTTTGGTAATGGACCAACACAGTCAATAAGAACCTTACTAAATGGTTCATCGAATGCAGGTATAGGGTGTAAAGGTGCAGTTGGAATTTTCTGGTTAGGTTTCCCTACCATTTGACATGTATGACAAGACCTACAATACTCTTGGACATCTTGTTTTAATTTGGGCCAATAGAAATGATTGAGTATTTTATGGTATGTTTTAGTTACTCCTAAATGACCTGCCATGGGAGAATCATGAGCTAGACTCAAGATTTCCTTATGATATGATTTTGGGACAACAATTTGATGCACAATTGCCCAATCATCTTCAGGGGAAGCTTCAGGAGGTCTCCACTTTCGCATTAATATGCCATCCTTTTTGTAGAAACAAGCAGGGACCTTGTCAGCTTCATCAATAGTAAGACATCTTTTATGAAGATCAATGAGTGATGGATCATGCTCTTGTTCATAGATTAACATGTGTTTAGAATGAGGATCATTTTTCAAAGAATCACTATCAGAAATAGAGGATGAAACCTCAGAACTAGAAGAGGATGAAACCTCAGAACAAGGAGGGGATGAAACCTCATGAACACTAGCAGAAGAAGATGAAACTTCATCAGAACTAGCAAGAGCGGGCGAAACCGCATTAAAATAGTGATCCTGCTCAGAAGGTGAATCACCCCTGGCAATAGGCTTTTTCAATGAAGAATATGCCTCATTAGATCGCTGCTTGGCTTGAACAATAGGCTGTTTCAATGAAGAATTTGCCTTTAAAATAGGATAAGGACCATCTTTAACAAGTGGTGAGTGACATTCATCATCAAACAAGGAGCTTAAAAACCCACTATCAAAGTCATCTCCCACAGACGAATCCCCGCTATTAGCTAACTTTTTAGCCATAGCCCTAGTAACAGCACAAGCAGGATATATATCAGAGTCCTCTTGGACAGAATCCTCAATAGAACAAGGCTGATCTGAAACAATGGGGTCTAATGATACCTTACCCCCAGCTAAATCATTGCCTAAAAGCAATGCGACTCCTTCAACAGGAAGTTGTGGCCTAACACCAACAATAACTGGCCCTTTGACTAACTCAGACGTGATATGAATACGATGGAGGGGAACTTTAGTAAATCCTAATTCAATGCCTTGCATCAAAATATGGGTACCTGTGAATGACTCCTCAGATAAAGGAAGGATGCCTTCTAACAACAAAGTCTGAGATGCACCCGTGTCTCTAAGAATCTTAATTGGCTTTGAATTGGTACCATCACTTGACAGTGACACAGATCCTTCGGACATGAAAGGCTTATAATCCTCCATAATATCACCATGAGTAGATTTCTCAGTATGAGTATATGAATCCCAAACAATGGGCTTTCTTGAAATGGGAACTGTAGCACAACCATTTGAATGAGCAGAACCAGACATCTCTCTTCTATTCTTAATCCTATAGCATTCAGAAATAAGATGACCAGGCTTTTTACAATAATTACAGGTGACGTTTGATTTTGGACCTGAAGAATTTGATTGATCTGATTTTGAGCTAGAATTCTGTGATGAATTAGACTGGTCTTTTGCTTTGTTTGATGCATTTGATGATGAGGACTGATTTGATTTAGAGTCATATGAAGGTTTGTAACCTTGATAACCTCTAAAGTTAGAATTACCTTTGATAAAACTACCCTTATGAGTAAGAGCATAATCATCAGACAGGGTGGCAGCTTGACTTAAAGTTTCTACCTTGTGTTCATCTAAGTAAGTTCTAATGTGATATTGAACACAGTTTTTAAATTGTTCTATTAGCATAAGCTCTCTGAGCTTTTTAAATTCTTCAGATACATCCTTAGAGACAAGCCACCTGTCAAAAAGCTGCTCTTGCTCTCGAGCAAACTCAACATGGGTTTGGTCACTCTGTTTGTGGGCATTTCTAAATTTCTGTCTGTAAGCTTCTGGCACTAGTTCATAAGCTTTAAGAATTGCATTTTTAATTAGGTCATAATCAGAGCATGCTTCTGCTGAGAGAGAGGCAAATATTTCACTCGCTTTACCAATGAATACACTCTGAAGCATAACTGGCCATGCTGATTTAGGCCAGTCTAGGCTCTGAGCGACTTTTTCAAAATGTGTAAAGTATTTATCAACATTTTTCTCTTGAAATTTAGGTACAAATTTGAGAAATTTTGAAGCGTCAAACCTATTTTCAAAATGTTGATGCATAGTAGCATGTTCCTCAGTTTTGGATTTAGCTTCTATCTCAAGACGTTTTAATTCAATTTCTTTTTGAATTTCTTGTTCTCTTATTTCTTTTTCATTTTGCATTTCTTGTTCTCTTAATCTTATTTCTTTTTCATTTTGCAATTCTTTCTCTCTCAATTCTCTAATTTCTCTTTCATTTTGTTGTTGTGTTCTAATTTCAAGCTCTCTTAATTCAAGTTCTTTGAGCCTAATAGGATCAACTTGCTCAACATGCTGGGCTGGCTGCTCAGGCAGAAGTGATTCTGCGACCAAATATTGAAGTACAAAGTTTTTAATTGTATCCTTTTTGTATGAACTTTTGACTGACAGGCCAACATGTTTTGCAATTGCCAGAAGTTCAGTTTTCTTTAAATCATCAAATTCCTCCAAAGAGGGCGCTTCTAAAAATGTCTCAACCTCAAAACTCATTTTCGATTAATTGCTGTCTTCACAATTTTAAATGAACAAGTTTTGGATTTTGAATTTAAAATATTTGTATTCTAGCTTGTTGTAGTTGGATCCCGGACGAGCCCCCAATTTCTGTTACGTTCGAAAATAACAGAAAGTAAAAACAGCAATTAAAATATGATAACAATATATTTATATTTTGAAAACTAAATAATATAACAATAATATAAAGGAGGTTTAATACTTAAGTGATGTCCAATCAACGATACGGCTTATTCTTGATGTCGATAAATGTCGTTGACGATCCTTGGGAATGTTCCAGATCACGAAATGTTTTAATAATCGTTAATAGTTCTCCAATGTTTGTAATAATCCAATAATGTTTGTTGTAATCCTATAATGTTCGTATCCAATAATGTTTGATGATAATCCACAAATGTTTGATGATAATCCACAAATGTTTAACGATAATCCACAAATGTTTATGATAATCCACGAATGTATATGATAATCCGTATATAGTGTGTGTTATAATATATGTCCATATAAAGTCCTCAGGTTGTATGTTTGCACTGTTATAAATGTTCCCAAAGTAGGTGTCTGTAATTTTCTGCTAAGAAGATGTCCTTTTGATAGACTTTGAAATTCTGCTGCCAGCCCAAATCAGCTCTCTCATTATATAGTGCAAAGGCATAGTCCAGATGTTTCAAGAAGTTACGATTTCTAGAAAATAACACTGATTGGACATCTTAAGTCACATGATTCAATCTTGATTAAATGATTACAGTTCCAGTACTTTCTAGAAGGCCAAGAGTTAATGAGTCATTCAGTTCAGTTATGTTTACAAGATATAATGTCATTGTGACCTTGACTTGACCTAAGATCTCTAATGAAGATCAGTTACAGTGTATGCATATTGATAAACTAAACTTAATGTGAATATAATTGAATATAATACTGTAACATGTCAAAAATGACAAAGTTATGAGGAAAAATTAGGGTTGCCGTTTTTTTTATTTTGATAAATCAATTTCACATCTAGTATGGGTGACATCTAAATTTACCCACCACGTATTAACACACAGTATGTCGTAGTGATGACATGTCCTACAAATGAAGTAAAGCAGCTTTGATGAATACCAAGAATTATATATATTTGCTGATGAACATGCATTCTTTGGATAATACACTCTCTCATGTTTACAGAATCATTGTAAACGGGTCTCCAAGACGATTTCAGTAAACTGGAATTTACAAAGCTCTCATTATTTCTTAAGAATGGACTGATCCAGTTGACACTCGCCCGGAGTCATCCTTGCTGCAAGGGTATTTTACAAGTACTGAATTTAGGCATAAATGAAGTCCTTTGAAGAAGGATGGCCCGGAGTCACCATATTGATTTTATACGGGAAACTTACTCAACCCGTTAATGCTCTAATGTACTTTTGTTTCATAGACTTTAAACTCGATCGAGCTTGCACCCTTATTCAAAGTCTTGAAAAAAGACTTCCGTGGTTAAAATATAGGCTGAATTCGTAAATAGAGGATCCCAGAAAGTGGTCATTTGTACTCTCCGTGTACCGTAAGCTTACCCCTCTCGTTTGCTGGCGTCGACATTCTTAATAGCCATGGGACGGGGAGGAAATTGTATCAACGTCTTTTGATGATGCAAATTGCAATGCGTCATGTATTTTGTCACAGTGTCAATCTGACATCGTTTTGTATGAAAAGCCGAAAAGGCCCGAGCTCAATAACTGATTTTAGGCTACATTCTCAACACATAGTTTTTTGCAATTTTTCTTCCTTGTTGGAATTTGATTTAGGATAAGAACATTACAAAAATATATTTATGGAAATATGTAAAATGCATTTTCGTTATATGTTTTTATCTTAGAACAACGTTTATATATATAATCATGCAAACATTTAGTGGTGATAAGCACGATTAAAATGAAACTAAGCATATAACCGATCCTAATGTATGTCCATTAACTGTTAAAGTGTTTAGATTTCAGCACATGTTTTTCCTGATTTTCTATATTTTAATGGCGCAAGAGACTTACCGAAAGAGGCGTATAATCCTAAAACGTACACCAAATAGACATTCCCGGACTGTGGTTAGTATATTTAATATAGCATAAAATACTGTCTCAATTGGTTAAGACAGGATTATGAAGAAGGCAAAACAAACTACACCAAAATACTGTTGTAGAGCTTACGGTTTGTTCACGGTTTCTATAAATTATTTTGACAGTTTTGTACTTCCATAGTCATTTCATACTTTTAGTTTCTTAACTCAAACAGTGTTTCTTTGCCTCCTGGCAATCCTTAGGTAGTAACTGATCCAAATACCGCACTGGCGGATCCAAAAGCTAGCAAGGGGGAGCACATTTTAAGTCAGGAAAAAATTGGCCAATTTTTTGAAAATGCGGCCTATTTAAGGCCTAAAAAGGCCAAGTTATGCCCAAAAATAGGACAATTAAATTCAGATAGGCTATGGTCATATACCATACAAAGGTCTAGAAAAATGATAGGTTATATTAGATCAATACTCTGGGTAGCAACATAAATTAACACTAATTGTTTTATTTTAAAGAATGTGCAGTAATGAAAGAAGAGTACTACATTGTTTTTAAATGATTGAAATTATTGTCAATTGTCTTTTGTGCCACACTGGTTTTGGATAGCTTGTATAATGTCCATTCTTTAAAAACAATAAAAAAGAATGCACTCTTTTATGTTTCAACTGTAAATTATTCAAAATAAACTACATTTCATTATATTGTGTTGCTACCTAATTTGGGTTGATGATTGATAATAGGGAGTTTAAGCTTGCATATAAAATCGAAACGCCAACCTGAGCGTTTGACCAATCGCCCATACAAATGCATCGCTTAAATAAGTCCGTACACGTTAGTGCACGCTTAAACTGCCTAATATGTACCTAACATTATATGACATGACATTCTCTCAGAATCCATCACATTTTTAAATCAACGCTTATGTTGTGAACTATACACCGTGGATTAGAATTCAATTTTAATAAACCCCAGCAGCTTATGAATGGAAATATGAAATAAAAGTAAATAGTAAAAAATGTAATAGATACAATACATGAATAAGAGTATTAACAAGCATATCGGAATCTACTTAGTTCACTTTTTAAATGGCACTTTGAACTTATTGTGCATGTCTAGTTGGTGATATGATTTCAATACCCAGTCGGTTTATAAGTACTCTGCCCTTGATTTTAAAATACTAACTAGCTGATAAGCATTATTTATGACATCTTACATGTACATGTTCAAAGATTGAAATTGACAATCGGGCCAGAGACATGTAGCTGAAGGCGAGTTTTCTCGCTGAATATATTTGACCCAGCTAGTTCTAGAAACTATGTGTTTTCTAACTACCCTTTTCTTGTGTTTCAGTATACAACCAAACACGTGCTATTATATATAACGAGCCAAAGCCTAATTCCTTCAATATAGTCCTACTTTGGAAGAATATATTTTCTGAATGGAAGTATTTCTCATCGGTATAATGCAATTAAATACATGCGTTATCATGAACTGTTCTCGACTAATGATTAGTGGAGAGGAGCAGGTCGTTTTCACAAGAAATGTCAAGATTTTCACACTTAATTTTTAACTGAAGAGCTGCTCATTCGAAGAGAAAATAAACCAAAAGCCCTACGTGCAATGACAGTGCCAGTCGTGCTTCTACACGAATTTCAGTATTTCACTCGTTCCATCACATCTAAGAAGGTGGTAAGAGTCAATATGACACGGTAATGCGTACGCGTCTTGTTTCTATATTTTCAGTAAACACAATGGCCTCACCTACTGGACCTAGAGAGGGGCAGTGCAGTGATGTTGAACATCAGATACCAGTTTCTGAATCTGGAACAACTGATATCAATCTTGATGTACATTCGGGTATGCAATCTAAATGATATCATTGTTAGCGGTTTTAGAGTTTTTGGAATTTTGAACTATGATCGGCTACCCTTTCCTCATCTGGATTGACCAGATCATTGGTAACCATACAGCATAGTGACAGCCCTTCGAGAAAAGCGAGGGGCTGAAATTAATAAAAATGCTCGCTATTTAAAATATACTAGATTATACTATACGAGGGTTGGCCTGAAATTTTAATTCTGAAAAAATCTGAATTGAGATACGATAATAAAACTTTTATATCACATATTTTTAAGTCACATTACTACTGTCTCTGTAACATTGCCTAATGTTGTTTTATGTTATGTAGTCAATTACTAAGTAAAATATCAATTGTTGTATCTTAAATATTTTATGAATAAGAATAGCAATTACAGGACTTATGAGACAACCCTCGTAGTATCTAGGAATTAATGCTTTGCCTACTTTTGGTTGATTTTTTAACTTGTTGGTTTTTAGATTATGCTGGTACGGTATCGAACACCTCGAACATCACCGGAAATGCGTCTGCATTCATGCACACAGACGATTTGCAGAGATGTCTCGATCACATGACGAGACTGAATTGTGTGATTTTAACAGGTGAAAACCATAGTGCAATTTCTATTCAAACCTTTTCGCATACGGTATGTAGTAAACTTTTTGAGTTTGTTTGGAGTTTGTTTTGATAAACCGATCTCTACAAGACGATGTAGCATGCTAAGAAAAAAGTACAATTAATATGGGTTTTAGATGTTTACATTCTTTGTTGCCAGATGCCTACCTTCGAGTGAAAAAAAAACTTTCTCAATATTTGAGTTATTAAACTTTAATATTAAAAGAAATCAAAGAAAATATGAAACAAAAAAGTTCACCTCCATCTGTCATCTTTAAACGTTTGTATATATGCAACAGTCTACATGAAATGGACAAACTGTTGCTAATATATTGAAATGTCTGAACAGGAAATATAGCGTGAAAACCTTGGTTAATATGTGATAATATGATTATGGGTTTCCATACATTATATCAATCCATTAGATCTAATGTGTATTGTTGAAGGGATGTCTGGAATTGGTAAAACCGAGATAGCGAAGAAGTACTGGCACACAAAGAAGAGCAACTATGATGTCGGATGGCTCATACCTAGTAAGTCGAACAAGGAACTAAGGACTTCAATTTTTCAATTCTTAGAAAAATTGGACGCAATACGCATAAAAATTGATCTAACCAAAGATATGGAATTGCCAAAAGTTCTCGAAAAAATCCACTTAGAGATCAGTGGTACTTCAACGGGAATCAATTCGAAAATAAAGTACTTGTTGATATTTGATGATGTACGTGAGGAGACGCATCAAGCTATTGTCGAGGGGTTTCCATCAAGACCGAACATAGCTGTCATTATTACAACCCAACAAAGCCTTCTGTCAAATAAATACTCCTTAGAATTGAAAGGCTTTACCGAAGAAGAAGCGTTGAAGATGTTGCACGATATAAATGATTCTGACGAGCTCAAGCATAGTTTATGGGAGGCGATGAGTCATCTTCCAAGTGCACTAGTCTGTGCTGGCTATGACATAAAGAAAATTCAGAGAGGCATAAGACATTACATCAAAGGAATCCAAGATAAAGATCAGTACAAGTCTATAGAAAAACGTGATCTTCAAATATTGGGCATCAGCTACGATGGCAAGACTCCAATCGAGGCACATGTTAGCAACGCAAAGACCATGCTCGATGAATTGAAAGAAGAAAATGAATCGCTTTGTTTTGTTTTGAAAACTATAGGCTTCTTCAACTCGAAAGATATACCCGAGTTCATACTGAGGGATATTTTGAGACAAAGAAATATTGATAATACTGGGATTGTGATTGAAGACGAAAAACTTGATTATTTAATAGATCAACTAGTAACGAAAATGCAGGCTAGATCATACGTCACCTTATCACCAAATGGGAACCATGGAGATGATGGCCGTTTCGTTGATACCCATGATCTAGTACAGCTTGGGATTCGTTACGCAATGGAAGAAAAGGACGAGAAACCTATCTTAGAGACACTCATGCGAGTTTTGTTGCGTTACTTCGCCAAGGATACCAGATACATGAAGTTTTTCAGTAGAATAACTCGTCTTATGCCGCATGTTGAGACTGTGCTGGATCATTTTGAAAAGTTAGGCGTTATGGACGTAACTTTTGATATGAAAGTGATGGCAATTGCTATGAATGATATCCTTGGCTACTCCTATACACAGAAGAATTTTATTGATGTAGCGGAAGAGAAGCTTACGAAAAGCGTGGATATGCTGTACAAAGTGCTCAATATAGAAGAACAAGATTTGGACCGTCATATAAAAGGAGGGCTTCAAGGTAAAGACAGGGACGATGTCGAGAAGTTTGCCCAGGAGAAAGCGAAATTTATATTTAGCAAGCTGAAAGGATTGGGGGATATCTTGGTCGACAAACTTGTGCTGAACACAGTTCTGAACACAGCTGATGTTAACCTCATAGAATCAAAACTGCCAAAAGTGAAATTACCAAAGCTACTATCACAGAATAGAACGGATAGGAAGATTTATGATACGTTAGTTGATAATGAACTGGCGATATCAGAAGAAATCATGAAAACAATATACCTTCCAGAATTATTTGCTTCAGTATTGTATAGCCATGGACGTATGTACTTCTACAAGTCTACGAAGGACAGAACAAATACGTTTATTTCCAATTTACGAGTTGCATCTGCCCTGTGCGAGATTATCCAAAAGAAAATGAAATGCGTTGTCCTACATAGAATACTAACGCAACGAAACGGTCTGATGTATCTTTACTCTGAGAAAACTGACGAGTTTGGAGAGGAAAAAGATGGCAATAAAATACTAGAGGATTTGTATAAAGGGAAGAGTGAATACGAAAAGTTGAGAAGGCGAACTGATGAAGAGGATTGGTACCAGTACGGAATTCTCAAGGTCACCCAAGGTGATTCGTTCCACAAGTGTAAATGCTTGGAAAAGATCATTTACATTTGTACAGAAATCCTGAAGTTAGAGACTTCGCTTCAGAAAAGAGAAGGGGTCGTCGAAGAAGGTAGAGACGCGACAAGAGAGCTAATGGACGTACTTGATCACCAAGAGAAGGAATCAAAGCTGCATAAAGCGTCAAACTTCTACTCCGTCACAGCAAAGTTCTACGACGAGGCCAAGTGCTGGGATGAGGCCTTCAACTACTATACGAAAACCATTGATCGATGCAAGGTAGGACTTTTATATAAGACTACATTGCAGTATTATGTATGCATGTATAAGGTACGAGACGTGACTTGATTCAGCAATTTTCATTGTAAAACGTTTGAGTTTATATATACAAATTCAATTAATCTTCACCTTATAGCATCCAGACAGAGGCAATATTGAATGGAAAAAATATGGCGAATGTTGCCTGTCTGTAATGCGTGTTGCCAGGAACGTCGACAAAAAAGAAAGTCTAGATAAAGCGCTGGAATTCGCGAAAGAGTTCATCGACAAATCACCGAAAGAGGTCAACATATCACCAAACAGAGAAGAGGTCATCGGGGAAGCTGACAGGCTCCATACATATATTGAGGAGAAATCGTAAAGGTATGTACCTAAGTATCTAATTGTCAGCATCTCTTGGTCCTGTTTTCTTTATACTTCACCTATGCTACTTTGCAAGTAACTATAATATACCTTCCCATGTCTTACGCTAAATATGGTGTTATGTCCGATATATTGCGCTAAATATGGTGTTATGTCCGATATATTGTTGATGATAAGACAAGAGTAGTTCCTGATTGTTTTCCAGTAAGGCTATCACCGAACTAATACTAGGTTGTAATGATTACTTATACCATCGATGTCATCCCACCATATTCGTTAAATAATTAACTCACGCATGTTATATACCTTCAGGAATTCTTCGATGCAGTCAATACAATCCGACATGGCCATATCGTTTTCAGAAGATGTGCTAGGAAGGTTTTTGCAGTCTGGATCTGTACCTCACCCTGATGTACATTGTTATTACATCCGTGTACTGTATGTATAAGACAATCAAAGACCGACTATATGACCAAAATACAAAGGACAACATTTTGACGCATGAAATTGCAGAGTAATTAAAGATCTCGTGATTTTTGTCGCAGATATTTTGTCTGATTATCACATGTAATAAATGAAGACGGGTTATTCAAAGAACCACAATGCTGCTACATTGATTATAATATGTATCTGAGTATATTTAATATTTTACATCAAGTATTATTGGTCCATCACATTCACGGCATATGTCCAATGCTTCAAAGAAAAAAGAATAACATTTGAAAATAAAATGACGTGTGGTCCTAATAACAAATAGCATTTTCAATACTTTGTTTACTTATACTGAACTCTTATGGGTATAATATGCACAGGGTGTCCCAGAACTCACGAGCATCTTTTGAGGAAGATATGAGGCATGGGTGTTTTTTCTTCATTTATAAAATTACAAACATCAGGATTTTATATTGCCACATGGGTTTTCCCAATAATATTCAGAGGAATCAGCAGTTTACGTCACATTTTGTTTTTATTTGATTCGTTGAGCGTTTTGATACGTACAGTAAGTTAATAGGATTACGCACATTTAACGAAAGTCGCTCTTTTTCGTAATTTTCTCGGTGATATGCTGATGTCTTTAATTTTAGAATTGCACAATTATTTATATTACTTGTCTCATCTTAGCGTAGCATACGGTGTATCTTCTCGGATGTTGTTTAGTATAGTTCATTTTATGAGGTTTCTTAAGATTTATTTATATCAGTTGTATTCTTAAAAGGGGCCAGTAATGTCCTAAGCTAGCTACAAGGCCTATAAATTATGTAAGCTTGTTGAACGAATTCAATATGCAAATAAAACCACAATAACCGACAAAGATGCGAGTTGTAATTTTTATGTAAAGGCCGAAGCAAACCCTTCATTTTTTGAATAACTAGCCTATATATACTGGGCTTTCAATAGAAGGGGGCGAGGGCCTAAAATCGCCGTTTGTTTTCGATAATTCGCCGTTTGTCAGAAGTTTGGGGGAAATTAAAAATCTTCTTTAGACTATCCTTTATTTTATTTAGCGATCTTATTTTGCAATTCCTTGTTTGTGATTTGTACCTTATTATCCATGGGACATGCAGATAAATGTATGATTGATACAACTCAAACAGTCACAGTATATCTTTTCAATGGGTGTAAAATTGTATTAATCAGTTAAAGGGCCAATATAAACTTTGGCTTATCCAATATTATCAAAGTGTGAAATGTGAAACTTTTTATTAATTTCAAAAAATATTTTTTTGAAGGACCGTTTATTCAAAATATCGTGAATTTATTAAAAACTAACTTTGAGAGGTTACACTAACACATAATTCACACCGATGCATAGCATTCATCCTCATTTGTTTTTGCCGACAAAATTAAGAAAGTTGGTTGATAAATTAGCGAGCAATAAACTCATTCATGGATGGAAGTGGTTCGGGGCAAATGCATTTCGAAATTTTAGTTCTCACAGAAACCAATGGTAAATATATTAAAAACATTATATATTCACTCTTTAACCTGGTTAGACAGTCAATATTGGTATATTTCTAATTAGTTTAGCATAGAAAAAGATAGACACGGAGAAATGTTGCCACCTAAAATGATATCACAATGAGGGCACTTAGGTTGCAAAATATTTTCGATATGCTAAAACATTGAATTGGCACATCAGGGGCCATGAATTCGTACGATCCCCAATCCAATCCGGATAAATTTTATCTTTTGGGATAAATTTTGGATTACTAATCCGATAAATATTTGGTGAATTCGTACGATCCGAGGATTATGAGGGGGAATCCCCAATATTTATCTAATTTGCATTGGAATTCGGATAAAATTTATCCAAAAAGCAATGGATTGAGATTAATCCCAGGATCGTACGAATTCACCGATTTTTGGATTAATTCTTGGATTAATCCCACAATGCATCATTACCATGACGAAATTTATCCGGATCGGATCGCACTAATTCACCGCCCCAGATCTGACATTTTATTATTGAAATAGTGTGTCCTTTGATCAATCTTTATATTGTGGTTAAAAAGATAATATTTTCTTCCACTGTATATTGAAATATTTGATGATTAAAAAAGTTCAACTTTATTTGAAAAATGGCGGGAAATTTGGAATTTAAGAAATGATCATGAAAAGCTTTTTAAGTCATGATAAATAGTAAATATCAATTCAGCAGATACATTTGAATTTGTAAACTGCACCCCATGTAAGTGTAAGTTATCTCATAAAGGTAAATGCCATTCTATATAAGTTGCCATAGTCATTCCACAGTTCAAGATGTCATTTGTGTAGCCCATGTCTTGTGGTCAATCCAATTGACCCAATATCACACGGGGAAATGACTAAATGACAAACCTGCAAAAAGTAAAATCCTGGACACCTTTTGAATCACCTCTTAATAGGATTCAAAGTTCAAAACTTTGATTAACTGTACAATGATATTGTATTTCAGATACATTGTTTTTGAAATATAATGCACATCTGAATTTTATATCATTTTTGGCAAAGCCTATGCCCTTGATCATCTGTCCACTTTTTGTCCATGGACAAGAATTTGCATTTCCGGGAGTGTAAAATTGGTTGTTTTGAATGGCGCCTCTTGTTTTTTTCATCTGCCCCTTGTGCAGAAAGTTACTGAAACTGCACTGATATATATAGATAATGAATAAATCCCCTTGGGTTTGCTCGTGTTTGCTGGTTTTGATCCCTATTTCTCAACCTTTAATGCCCGGATCCATCTTAAAAGGTGCCAAGTGAAAATATTTAGCCTTGCCTAAGTCAGTGTCTCTTTTATTTATTTTAATTTTACTTTCACGGATATAATTCGAGATCAAATAAGTAAAAAATACCGATAAAGCTAGAAAATATTGTGAGTTCATATACTCAACAATTTGAGTTCATCAAGGTGTTTTAAATTACTCTTGAATGAATAGATGGCGTGTATGGTTGTATAGACCAAAAATGACCACCATCACCATCTTTTATTTGACCCCAAGAAAAAATCAATATTAGACATATTTGAAAATATTGTTTTATCATGGTCAGCTCATTTGTGGCTAGTTTTAGCTGTGGATAGTGTCAAATGAAAGTTCGAGTATTTATCAATCGATTGGAAATACTAGATAAGGAATGAAAAGTTAGTCTGCTCATGCCAAAGAAACCTGAAAAATTCAAAAGTATGCACTTAATTAGTTAACTCATTATCATTATTGTACTCAATACGCCATGAACTTTTAAAAAGAAGTCTGTTAACTAGTCGAGGTTGAAGTTCAAGTTTCTATTCAACTCTTGAAGTAACTGTCACAATAGCCATGTAGGCTCACCGTTCGCCACCGTGTGACTTATTCTAGGCATCATTCACCCTTTTATTTATGCCCACCGTGTATCCATACCCCGCCGTCTCACTATAAGTATAAAAACGGTGGCGAACGTTGAGCCCACACAAATAAGATTGCTTCTGAATAAAAGAGTTATTGAAGTATTGTAGGGATAACAATTTGAAGGCATTGTAATGACATCATTTTATGTATATTATATCTGGGTTAAACATAATATTGGTATTTGCATTTTATTTCTACATGTATACTGTTAACAGAGATGAACTTGCTGTTTACATATCATACGTTATGCTGTCATTTGTAATCAAATTAATCGAGCATTCGGTGAATACCCTTGGAACTTCCATAATGATTAGTCCCTCGAGGGATATCATTTGGGAAAGATGTACATGCATTAACCTCAATAGATTGATCTTTTTATTCAATGCGTTTTTTTATGAACTACAAGTATGAGAATACAAATGTTCACGAAAATACATGTAGAATCATCAACGTTTTACCAAAAATTCAGCTTTAATTAAAAGGTAAGGTTCGAGTAACGAGTCTTAAAAAGAGCGTTACAAAGAATACTTGAGTTTATTTGTCGTTTCGAGAAAGAAAGAAAGAAAGCCACATGGTTAATATGTTTTAAAAGTTAACAAATAACTAATACGTGATATCACCAGTAAAACACATATTTCAGTATAAATCAGTTCAGATATGTGAACAAAACGAAACTAAAGCTCAAATCGAATTTATTGCAGTATTGGCATCCATACAAATCTCAAGTACATGTTAAAGGAGTGTCGCATCGGCCATTTTGTGAGATTCTGAAAAACAGCAGTCGTGTCTCTTTCATCACGTTGACATGCAGGTAAGGTATGATTAACTATATTACAATTACAATTGCATTAGCAACGTCAAATTTATATTTCATTTACATTTTCTTTAATGTAGGCTACTTGGCATCATCCACATTAAAATCAGACCAAGAACAAGTATGAGAATAAAATGTTCACGAAAATACATGTCATCGACGTTTTGCCAAAAATTCAGCTTTAATTAAAACGCATGTAAGGTTCGAGTAACGAATAAGGTTCGAGTAACAAGTCTTAAAAAGGCTAGCGTTACAAAGAATACTTGTATTAATTTATCGTTTCGAGAAAGAGATCTTTGAAGACATATGTAAGAGCCACATCAATAACAACAAAAAAATAACAAATAACTGATAAGTGATATGACCAGTAAAACACATATTATATATTAGTCAGTTAAGATATGTGAATAAAACGAAACTAATACGCTCAAGTCGAATTTATTGGCGTCCTTAAAAATCTCAAGTTAAAGGAATGTCGGCCATTTTGTGAGATTCTGAAAAACAGCAGTTGCGTCTTAGACTCTTTCATCGGGTTAACATGTCGGTAAGGTATGATTAAATACACTACAATTACATCAGCAACGTCAATGAAATATGACATATTCATTCACCATACCGATATTTTTCATGTATGTTGACGTTTCAGTTTTTAGGTACAGTGGTCCAAACTTGAGAAGTTGAATAACCCAAAAAATCAAAAGTTCATCGGCTTATTTCGATGTTATCAATGTCGCTAACAATTTTGATTTTTTTACAGTTAGTTAGTTAGTGTAAATTGAAATGCGGTCTTTTGAATACTTAAAATACAATTATGGTAATATTTTTTATTTATTTCGTAAAACAAATATTAGCGACCCCCACCCCCTCTGTAATAGCCCTCTGAAAAAGAAAGATACTATGAATATCAGAATGATGCTCATCCTCAATAGCTTTGTCTGTGCTCTTGTTTATACTAGCTCTATCATTTTATTGAATTTATGTTTAATAAAGCAGTAGATACACATATCTTGGGTGTCCATTGTACTAAATAATTTGTATGCTAATTGGTATGAAGGACATAAATAAGAAATACAAAAAATAGTAATAGTCACAAAGTATTTATTTTTACATGACACCCCAAAGCATTAGGTAGGAAGAAATGATATTATGAAGTTTTGTTAGGCAAAGCTAATTTTTTTACAATATTGGAGGGGTTTTCTGAAAGGTATATATAGTCCAAAATGTAAGCAAATGAGTCCGATGTCCATTCTATTAACAAATCAAACAGTCACAATCAGAGTTCATTAATCAATTTTATGAGTCATACACTTCAATATATTGACAGCCAATATAAGTAACTTCGATAATATTCAGAAAAATACAACATTGACACATGACTGGCAACACGTAACACCAAACAAAGCCCCGGATGTCGTGCCGTTTCTCGTTTCGTTTGGTACACAACTAAGCCCTGGGTATTAAATAAGCCCTTGCACTACTCCTATATGTTACTAATCTATAAGCAGAGAACTTGATTGCATTCGATAGTGGGGGAGAGGGTTTGGCATTGTTTCTTTATATTATGATTTGAGATAGTTGGGAGATGTTTTCTTTCTTTTGCTGTAACAATCTTCGGTTCTTTACCTGCTTTTGCTCTTGTGTATACTTATTTGGGTTAGCATTAAAATGCCGGACAAAAGCCCTCAAATATGAAATGAATCACTGACGTCAAATGAGTCCTAGATTGAAATCATTTTATGACTTTATTGATCTAAGAAGGCAATGCACTAAATACTATACTAGTAAGACATTCAACGAATCATTATAATTAAAACACATTTACACAAAATTAAAAAATCGAAATCCGTCCGACCCCAGGCTAGAAATTCACGATTAACATGCGCTGTACGTAATTCAACGGGAATGGTCCAACTCTAGGCCTAAATGTTCGACCTGAGACCAAAGTCGGTTCGAATTCTAGGCAATGTTTTTCCGAATTGTCTTAAATGATGAGACATGACATTCGAAGGAGACTTATGGGACACTTAAGTTATGCGGGCATCTCAATATTTAACCCTTGTGTTAATGCCTAGAATACAATTTCATTGGCTCCATTCTTACGCTCGGTGATCGGTAAAATGGAACGGAGGGGGAGCAGGCAATTTCTGCTAGAAAATTCAACAAATCTGGGAGATTTATTTTCAAGATAAAGTTTAATATTGAATTGCCTAATGGATAGGTGCACGGTACGGTAAAATACATGCATGTCATGTCTTATAGGATTTTTTTGAAACAGATACGCTTCAATGTTGTTTTGCTATAAATCAAACAACAATGGTCTACACGACCTGTGATACATACGTAAGTGACCTTATCATAACAAAGTTAATGCCATTTTTGATTTTACAAAATACTTTAAATAAAAAAAATAATCGAAAATAATTCAAATGGAATGGAGGGGAGGGGGGAGGGGGAGCAATATGTCCATAAGGTGGAACTTTACACGATTTCATGAATTTAAAAAGTGAACTGAGTAACTCAGTAAGAAACTGCATGTTACATCTCCAAAGAGTGAAAAACTGGGGAAATTTTGAGTTATAGGACATGAAGTCACATCTCTTATCATGTGTTATAGACATATTACCCCCCCTCCACCCTCCACCCTCCATCCCATTTTAATCATTTTCGATTATTTATATTTAACGTATGAAAACGTATTTTATGAAGTTAGCAAGGCATTCATTTTGTTATGATAAGGTCACTTACAAGTATTTATAACAGGTCTTGTAGATACCATTGTTGCTTGATTTAATGCAAAAATATTGACTTGTGCACGTTGGTGGCTTTGCGCCTTTTTAATAGATCTCATATCTTAGAAGCGTATTTGTTTAAAAAAATCCTCAAAGACCTAACATATTTTAATACCGACCGCCTATCAATTAGGCAATCAAGTAGTAAACTTTCTCTTGAAGAAGTAAATCTTCCAAATTTTGTTGAATTTTCTAGCAGAAATTGAGGACCCAGGAGAAATAACTTGAGTAAGTTTTAGTGAATGGCCCAAGAAGAAATGATGCTTTCAATACCTAATATGTTGTTATATTTTGATACTTTCAGTAAATGATGCCGAAAGCAAAAGACAAATCCAAGGGCGTCAGTGCTCCAATGAAGACGAGGTCGAGTGCAGGAAAGCGTCCGGGCACAAGCTCTACGAGTGAACCAAAAAGTAAACGACAAAGGCTATTATCGGTGTCAGTGGAGGACAAAAATGATTTGGGTAAGGGCGCTATCTGTCTTGTCGATCATATTTCAAACCTAACCAGACAAACTTCCTTAAGCCTAAAATATTTTGATAGGGCCAAAAAACAATGGGAAAAGGCAAATGTTAAATAAATTCAATAAACAAAGCAACTTTACTGATCATTCAGTACAGGTACGCTGTCGAATTAATTTATTTCCAGAAAGATTTCTTAACACCATTGGTACTAAGATAGGTAACAAATACAATAATCTTGGTATTCATCTTGGCCTCGATAAAAGTGACATCGAAAATATAGAAAGAAGCTCACCGAACGATGCCGAACGATGGGGATATGAGGTAATAACAAAATGGAAACAGATGAACCCACACAAATTACCATCGCTAGCTGATGCTCTTAGGAAGACACGCAGGGTTGATCTTGCAATAGAGGTGGATGAATATATAAAACACCATCTCATTTTGCAGTCAGAAGATACTGGAAATCTCTATCCAGTTAAGATTGAGGAGAAAGGTAAGTTCCTTAGAGTACATATAGTGATGTTAAAGGTTAACATTGTGAATGTCGAACGAGCTGGAAAATAAGATTAAGACAAGCTTCCGCATTGAAGTAACTACTTTTGTCATATACCGTACGGCTCAATTCTAGAAATCAAACTCTACGGCATTATATAATATATGTGTCCGTTATTTTTAATTGACCAAGTTCCTTATTGGTAAACAGATCTTTAGAAAGTTTATAATCATAAAGCCCGAGACTTTATATAATTTTCTTCACTTGATTTTCTTATTTACAATTGTACAAAGATCTACAAACCTCCACTTTCCAAAACCCATCTTTACTTACTCTATCTAGCCTTCTCCCGGGCCTTCTCCCGACTTTCTAGCTAGCCTGTTCTTATTTTACTGAAAGCCTGCAATCCATGTAGCCCTAACTTATCTCACTTGCACATATTTTTATACCCAGACCATGTGCTCTACAACTGTCCAACACTATAATTCGTGAAAATATTTAGGTCATTATCACCTTTACTCAAAGAATAAGTCAATCCATTACAGTCCATGATCTTTACAAAAATTGTGATACCATATATATACAGGGTGGTCCAGAAAAAGTGAACCCCTGCAACTGGCCATATTTCCCTTATTACTTGCAGGAATTCTTTTTTATTTTCACATGTTGTAGAGGAAGGTCTAAAATTCATGTTGGTACCATACATTTTTCTTAGTCTTGAAATTTGCAAAATTATAAGCCCTAACCAAACATTACTGAAAATGGACAAATTGTGATTTTCAATATCCGCGATTCTTCAACCCTTAAACACCTTTCCCCTGAGAATTTTTTAAGCTGCAGTCTTAAAGAACTAATATTTTCTGACTTTGTTCAATTTTAAATCCTGCACATTATGGCTTCAAACTAGCATCCTACATTTGTTAGTTGCAAAGTTATTGTGATCCAAAGAGATGTGCTAAGCTTCCACAGACGAAAACATTTTCCAGCGAAACCATGAGCATACCCCTATATGATCTTGAAATGTCAATATCTTCATAAATCATGAACCAATTCTAATGATATATGGCTCAAAACATTGAATATTGGATTTTCTTTTGATATTTTAAAGATATTTGGTGAAGGGGTTATCAGATTCCTGGTCACAGGGGGCAACTTCCTTCCATAAGAGACCCCCCCTCTAACTGTTGGTGTAGGTAACATACCCCTGAACTGTTGAACAGTTAAAAATGCTTCAAAATGATCAATGAAAGTGTGAAATGTGTTTTCTGCTTGAATAGTGTCCCTTTTGTCATATGGTAGGGTTTTAAACTTGTATCTCTAACTGAAAGCTGTTTAAGATCATCCAATGTGTTTCAACAATTTCCGTGAATCACATTTGTAAAATTGTGTACAATATCTAATTTCCAGGCATGTTTGTTAAACGCTTGTAATTTCTTCAAAATTTAGACTGAGAATAAATTATGGCATCAACCAAAATTTTAGACCTTTCTCTATAACATGTGATAATATGAGCCAATTCATGCATGTATTAACAAAAATGTAGCCTGTTGCAGGGGTTCACTTTTTTTGGACCACCCTGTATAATAGATGGAGTTAGTGACATAGACTATAATAATGTTTATGACTACATTTATAAGAACAATATAGCAAGTAACCATTGCAACAATCTAATTATACAAATAACAAAACTTCATCATCAATGCTCAGCTACACCAGTTCAGCCTAAACAACATAGTGACAATTTTGTAAAAAATTCCAAACAATATTCATGCTTACAAACAAATGAGAACCCTTGCATAGTACTAATACACTATTTGAAATATAAAATGATATAGAGTACAATGAATGTACACTGTACAGTACATTGAGAATAACACAATATGTACATTATATTACAGAGGGCATAACCGAGGCATACACGTACTCGCATTCAGAATGTTCTAATGGTGTACAGACTTTACGTTCTTAACACATGTGTCACAAAGTATATGAAGTTCTTTGAACATTGATTACATGAACTCAGCAAGCATTTGCCTCGCATAATTTGAATACCAATTTAAACATCAAGTATTTATTATGAACAAAATATTCGTGATTGGGCATTTTGATTTTGTGTCACAATGTGCGTGTAGAGTAATACGTCTATTTTCATTTAGGTCTTGATGTGCGCAACACGAACATCACGGACAATGTTACTGAGTTTATGAAAACTGAGGATTTGCGAAGATGTCTTGATCATATGAAGAAACACAATTTGGTAATTTTAACAGGTACCGGCGTGGATTAATCCTAATTAAATGTCTCATAATCGTACCCGCCAAGCCATAAAAATGGTTCATCATGTATTTGCCGTGATATTGAAAAGCCTACGATATAATATAGATTGATCTACGTGTATAAACGATTTGCATCAGATAAACGTCTAGTAATATTATGCAAATGTTGAATTTTGTGGAGTTGAATATTGAACAAATATTTCACTCTATTGAGGTGAATACCTGTACATCTTTAACAAGTGATATTCCACGAAGCCCGAGGGGCAAGTGGAATATCACCTTGTGAAAGTGCTATAGGTATTCACCGAAAATAGAGTGAAATATTTGTTTTATTATATCACTGTCTATATAGCTAGCTAAACATCCCTAATATTATTAAGTCATAGGTTAACATTGAAATATATACGAATCTACTCGGTTCGTCTGCCATTTTGACTTACACTGAACTAAATTATTTACACTGAACGAAAAAAAATCTTTGAAAATTCCCGGGAGCGTGGAATATCGCTAGATATCTCACGGTTGTCGTATCTGATTAGCATTGCCATTGAATATCGCCAGATATCCCACGACATGTGACCCGGTTTTGACCAATCATACTGTCGCTAGCTAGATAACGATATAATCACTGTATTTATTATATCATTGAAATGTTTCTCGCTTTCTCATTGGATAAGAACACTAAAAATGACGTCACTTCCGATGAATACACTCTTCACACGTTTTCTAACCAGGGAGACACGGAATACCTCTATATATTTTAGGTCACATGGTATATAATTAACCAATGAGAGAACGAGTATCACGCCATGGAAATAATATCGTGTCATATTTTTATAATGTTTGTTGTCAAAATTATTATAGGAATGTCTGGTGTCGGTAAAACTGAAATAGCGAAGAATTATTGGAAGACAGAGAGGGCAAAATACGATATTGGTTGGCTTATATCAAGTAAATCGGACAACGAGTTGAGGACGTCAATACTTCAATTTAAAGAAATATTGGATGCAAATAAGGTACAAGTTGATTTGAGCCAGGATTTGCCAATGTCAAAAATTCTCGAAAAAATCAATTTAGAGATAAGGAGCGACTCGAAAAGAGGAAATGATAAAATAAAGTACTTGTTAATCTTTGATGATGTGAAGGAAGAAATAACGCATCAGGCTATAGTGGAAGGATTTCCATCGAAGCAGAACATTGCGGTTATCATTACGACCCAGCAAAGTCATCATTTAGTAAATTCTGCTTTGGAATTGAAAGGTTTCACGAAAAGGGAAGCATTAGATTTGCTGAGTGGTTTAAAAGATAGCGATGATATAAAAATTGAGCTGTGGGAAGCTATGAGTCATCTTCCAAGTGCCCTACGATGTGCTGCTTATGACATCAAGAAGACAGGGAGAGACGTTAAACATTACATCAAAGGAATTCAAAATAAAAATGAGTACAAGAATATTGAACAACGCACCCTTAAACTGATGGGGATTAGTTACGACGGCAAGACTCCGATTCAAGCACACGTTAGTAACGCTAAGAACATGTTGGAAGAATTACAAAAGGAAGATGGAGAACCACTTTGCTTTGTTCTAAAAACGATGGGGTTTTTCAACTCGAAAGACATACCTGAGTTCATTTTGAGGGACATTCTGAGACAGAAAAACATTGACAACGATGGTTCTGTAATTGGAGATAGTGACATCGATTTTACGATTGATCACCTTGTCACTAAAATGCAGGCTAGGTCATACGTCACCATATCACCAAATGAGACCCATGGTCATTGCGTCGATACACACGAGCTAGTACAACTTGGCATTCGTCATGCGATGGAAGAAAAAGACCAACAGTCCGTCTTGGAGATATTAATGTGTGTGCTATTGCGTTACTTCGCCAAGGATACCAGATACATGAAGTATTTCAGTAGAAATACACACCTGATGCCGCATGTTGAGACGGTATTAGATCATTGTGAAAAGTTAGGCTTTTTGAACGTTTCATTTGATATGAAAGTTATGGCTATTGCCATGAATGACATTCTAGGCTACTCCTACACACAGAGTAAGTTCATAGATCTAGCAGAACAGAAGCTGGCAAAAAGCGTTGAGATGATGTACAAGGTACTCAACATAGAAGAAAAAGATTTGGACCGTCGTATAAAGAAAAAGCTTAAAGATAGGAACAAAGTCAAGATCTTTGCTGATGAGAAAGCTGAGTTCATATATGACAAGCTCAAAGGTTTAGGGGATACCTTGGTCGACAAACTTGTACTTAACACAGTCCTCAACACAGCTGATGTGAAACTCATGAAATCAAAAGTCAAAAAACTCCCAGCCTTATTGTCGCAAAACAGAACCAACGAGAAAATATACAATTCACTTGTAAATAAAAAACTGGCGATACCACAAGAGGTTATGAAATCTGCATATCTACCTGAACTTTTCGCGTCTGTTTTATACAGTCATGGACGCATGTATTTCTACAAGTCCGAACGCCCGAAGAGTAAAACAAATACATTCATATCTAATATACATCTTGCGTCCGCCTTGTGTAAAAAAATCGAGAAGGAAACGACTTATGTAGTCCTACACAGCATATTAACGCAACGTAATGGCCTGGTGTATCTTTACTCTGAGGAAACTGACGAGTTCGGTGAGGAAAAAGATAACAAGACGAAACTAAAGGATCTTTATAAAGGCAAGGGTGAATACGAAGAGCTGAGTAAGCGGACTGATAAAGAGGAATGGTTTCAACATGGAATTCTTAAGGTTACTAAAAATGATCCGTTTCACAAGTGTAAGTGCTTGGAAAAGGGCATCTATATATGTACAGAAATCTTGAAGTTGGAGCATGAGAAAGAAAAACGTGAAACGATAATCAAAGAAGGGACAGTAAAGATAGAAGAGTTCATGAAGATACTTAAGGAAGAAGAAACGGAATCGAAGCTGCATAAAGCAGCAGACTTTTTCGTTGTCACTGCAGAGTTCTACGCAGAAGCTAAATGTTTTGAGGATGCATCTAAAGTGTACAAAGAAGCAATTGAACGATGCAAGGTAAGACATCCATTAATATCACTTAACAATGTTGCCCTAAATTAGGAAGATTCGAGAAGAAAATGTATCTTTGTATTTCATGCATTTCGATTATTTTCAGACATCAGACATACTTAGCGATGCTGAGTGGAAGCAATATGGTAAATGGTGCCTGGGTTTAATGCGTGTTGCAAAACAAAAAAATACAAAGAAAGCGGTATCCGAAGCAGAGGAAGTTGTTGAGGATTTTTGCAAAAACGCCCCGAAAGAATTAGTCGAGAAACTCGGGATGAGGAAATAGATGCACCAACGGTAACCCTAAGCTGATGACCATATTCTTTTTTTCCTCCGATGAATTTCAAAGATACATTTCAATAAGTAAATTTTGTTGGGTAAATACTTGGTGCTTTCTCCTCTTCTAAGTATTTATATTATGTTCCGACCATAATTATTTTGTCATTTATCAGGTATTCGTTTTTTAGTTTATAAACAATAATTTATAAAATACTGTTCCTGGTCACCCATGGTGATGGTGTTAAACCACCAATATGAAAAGAATAATGGCAGATCGGCGATTACAATTGGTGCGTGAAATGGCGTGTTTTATTGCATTATCCATGCATGTGTATATTTCAGGGATGGAGAGGTTAATGAACTTACGTATTTCCTATAGTCTGGCGGTAAAAGATATCATGGAGAAATCTCGTTGTACACTACAGGCCGATTTTCTACCTCTTGTGGATATTGACTCCTTACCTAACCATGCATGGTTTTGTTACAATGGGGTTATATTAACAATTGCAATAATAAATTAATATTCTCGACGGTGTTCTTCAACAAAGGGTGAAGAACTTCACAGAGTAGTAAATCCCAACGAATAAAGTATTTATGAAACTCTATGTATCACAATATAATATAATCTACTCTACCCTTCTTCAAATAATAAAACAGACATTTGAGATATATCGGGTCCAAAAAATGAATCGCTTTTGACAAGTATTTTCTCGGCAATTGATAAATCACATTCACTGAAAATTTGTAAAAAGTAGCCCAGGAGTATAATTGGCAAGTTGTACAAATATTAATGAGCTAAAAAGGTCAAGTAAATGTTGGGAGTACTAAGAAATTCAAAATAGCATGTCAAAAAGCCATACCGGAGCTCTATAGATGAGACCTCCATAGCACGGGTGTTAAGCCACGATGATACCATGAGCACATGCCTTGAGGATCCGCGTTGTTTGAACCTACCGCCGAGCTCACTTATACATCACGAGTTCACGACCCGTTACACAGTCACGATACCGCCGAGCAAGCTCATTGCATCATCGGGTCTGCTTTACCCCCGTGCATAGTGTTTGTGCCAGCTATCAGGTGATAGTATCTGTCAATAGGATAGTTTCTAAATAGCAGAAAAATCAATGAAATCTCGTGCTGCCATCTTTTATTCAGCTTTTAACTCTGGCTAGAGCTCCATTCACTTACATGCTAAAATCTTGGAAAAGTGGCTTAATTTCATGATTTATCAAAGTGTGTTTGTTGAATCTGTATAAAACTTGAATGATATACCACATGATGACCCTGTTTATGAACATGTTGTGATTAAACATACTAATGTTGATTGACATACAAATAATCCACGGTTTTAAAGAATTTTAGCATTGCATCTATGGACATTTGGCCCAACTTTTTTTAAATTGTCATAGAAAATTATTCAAATTACATAACTGTGTAAATCAAAACTATTTTAGGAGAAAACATTCCACTGAATTCAAATATACCATTTAAAAGAAGGTAATGTAAGTCATTAGAGGTCTAATATGCAAGTCTCTTAAAATCTCACGAAAAACGAGATTTAGCGAGATTTCAAAAGCTATATGGAAACTATACTATTAGTCAAAATAGCGTGTCTGTGTGTCATGTCTAATTGATTTGTTTCATTGTTCCAAAATATCCAAAATCCCTTCATTCTCAAAATTCATTGGAGCTGATATTGTTAGAATAAATTAATTAGAATAAAAATATTTTTTGCTTGGAAATGGATTAATAAGAAATTGGTTATTTTGACATACTGTCTTTAATTCAACAATACTCACATAATATGTATCCAATCTCTTACATATTCATAGCACCAGCTGAAGATACCCTAAAGGATGTCACGTATAGTTGTCAACGAATTTGGCACAGCCCGGAGTTGTCGTAGAAATATGACGATTTACGTCACATTTTGTTCATTTTATGCCTTGGTCACATTTACTCCGAATTCCACTACGGCGCCCGGTCGATTGAGTGTTTTGTTCAAAATTGAATACAATATTGAACAAAACACACAATCGGCCGGGCGCCGGCCGATAGATCGGAGCAAATGTGACCCAGGCATTACACACCTTCTCAACTGTAATTACTGTATAGCTTTTAATTGTATTGGTTTAGCTTTTTGCCATATTAGTTAATGATACCATACACATTCATAGCTAAATCACTCCTCAAAGTAATTTCCCTGGTTGTCTATTATCTGTTGGTGCCTTATCAACCACTCTAATCTTTATACACCTTCCCAAATCCTTCTTTAGCCAGATATTATTGCAGTCACATTTCCTACGGCAACCACACGGCGAATTTCGTTGACATAAAAACCACGGTTGTCGTGCGATCTTTTAAATGGTGAATCACGGTCGCGGTACGGTCTCCCTACAGAGGGCGTAGTTTTTTCGGACACAAAGGCAGATGAAACATGGCCCTGTGGCAAACGTATGTTGACCATACACAACAGCTATACTAAACGTTAATGCCAATGATCAGTTTTATTTTATTTACATCATATATTGAAAGTGCAATTTTTAAATGATATTTACAATACTAGATATGATATCAAATAAACTGTTAATTTGAATTTTAGACCTACCAGATGTTTGAATATCAAGGATTGTGAGTCTCATACTGCACCGTTTTTCTTCAAACTTGGTCCATTCAAAGCAAAAAAAGCCTTTCTGTTGGTACATTACTCTCATGTTATACAGGGCGCTTCCCACAGCTTGGGACCCAAACGCCGCTATTAAATCGAGGGATTCGGTACAATAAACCAATGCACCAGCAGAAAGGCAACTTTGTTCTGCTTTTTATCATACTCCTGGCAGTGCTAGTCTTCACTTGTTCACAGCAAGTGACAGAAAACAACCTAAAACCTGTTTCTAACACCCCAGTCACATTTGTCGCACGGCGGCCGTAAGTCGACCGCAGATCAATTAAATCGGTGAATTTCTGCGGCGAGCGTAGGAAAACTACGGGCGCCTTGCGGTCTCCGTACGGCGTACGCAGATTTTTACAGGCCGCAGGGAAGGCGTAGAAATTATAACTCGGAGTTAAAATATTTTTCCTTTCTGCGGTGCCCGTAGAAATCAACTGGCTCAACAAGATTGAATCATTATTTGTCAATGTTTCACGATCACTTTTCATTTGATATTACATCCTAGCACTATGAATAACATCTATAAATTGTCCTGATGTAAATAAAATGAAAAAAGTATTATTTATCAACAGAAATTTAAAATTCACCGTGCGGCTGCCGTGGGAAATGTGACTGCAAAAGTATGAGAGCGCAGAAATTCTAAGGCGAGCGTAGAAAAGCTACTGGCCGCAGAAATGATAGACGGCACGGCGGCCGTGGGAATTGTGACTGGGGTGTAAGCTTACGCCTATCCTGCGGCCTGTAAAAATCTATATACGCCGTACGGAGACCGCAAGGCGACCGTAGTTTTTCTACGTACGCTCGCCACTGATTTAATAGAGGAGTTTCTAAATAGCTTTGAAATCTCGCTAATTCTCGGTTTTACATGAGACTTTAAGAGATTTGCACATTTTTCCTTTAATGAATTGCTTTTCTTTATTTTTGATAGCATATTTGGATTCAGTGACAAATTTTCTCCAATTATAGCTTTGATTTACACAATCATGTCATTTAAATCATTTTCCATGACATTTAAAAAAAACTTGGGCCAAATCTCCATTGGTGCAATGCTGAAATTCATTAAAACCTTGATTTATTTGTATGACAACCAATATTTTCATGTTTAATCACAATATTTTCATTGACAGGGCCATCCAATAGTATTCCATTCGAGTTTCAGACAGATTCAACCAATACTTTTTGATAAATCATGAAATTAATTGACTATTGCAAGTTTCTAGCATTGAAGTGAGTGGAGGTCTGGCCCTAGAAAATCAAAGACAAGCAAGGGTGACATCTATTATATGTAAGCATTTTTCAGCTATTTAGAAACCATACAATTGATCTGCGGTCGACTTACGGCCGCTGTACGACAAATCTGACTGGTGTGACAATTAGTCATCATGATAAATCATGACATCTCATTTCTTCTAAGCCCTTAGATGCCATGATATAATGAGCTTGATTTGGCGATCCAGGAGAGCCCAAAATTGAGGATTTTTGAGATCTTTCATCCCAGCTCATATTTCATTTAATTGGGGTCATTAAACTTGTGTACACGTGCCTGTGCTAATATCTGCTGTTAAATACAATGCCTATTATGTAATGTATTGACATTAGGTAGATGATTACATGATAACAATCACACTTATTGACAGTTATAACTCTTCCCATCTGATGTGCCCAGATCACAGAATATGCCTCATAATATCAGAGCATGTTTCAAGTGAAACAGAAAGATGCTATGACTATCAGAATGACAATTAGTAGGTCCTGTGATTGAAACAGGTGGAATTGCGTCATGCCGTTTCAAGGGAGTCTTCAGAAATGGCTATAGAAGGATTTTGGGAAGGTGTATAAAGAGTGGTTGATAAGGCACCAACAGATAACCAGGGTAATTACTTTGAGGAGTGAATTAAGCTTTAAATGTCTATGATATCATTAACTAATGTACTAAAAAGCTAAACCATTGCAATGTAATTAAAACACTGCATACAATTGAGAAGGTGTGTAAAATGAACAAAAACCGTCATATATCTCCGACAAATCCTGGTCTCTGGCGACATATTAAATCATTTGACAATATAATAAAAAATATAACAGCTCTGAGGCTAAAATTGATTTAGTTATTCCTCAATGTGCTCCAAAGACAAAATTCTACCCATGCCTTATATCTACCTCAAAAATTTCTCATGACATCTAGGACACCCTGTAATAGGTAATTTTTATTCTTGGTACATAATATTTGGTATGTGCACTCATTAATACATCTCTGATGATCTAATATGTGCAAATTTGAGAAATATTGGTTAAAATCTGTAAAAATGGTGCTACTATCATTACTTAGTGAACACCTTATATAACCTGAATTGTCACTACAGTGAATTGAATTGTTTACCCACTTTTTCAAATATATTATTTAGTGATTGATCTACTAGATCTACCAGAAAAATTCCGGCGGCCTTCTTAAAAAAATGTTTGTAGGTAAAATGTTTCCAAGAAACATCTTTGCACCAAACTAAACTACCTAGAATGCCTATGGCGATTAGTAGTAGATATTTTGTGTATTTTTAAATTATTTTTGATCATGAAGGAAATAAATAATATGTTATAAAAGATTATTTGCACCAAATATAAAGAAAAATCTGTTGAGATACATGTATCTTCCTGACGAACAGACTGATGGATAATAATTTATTCAATTAAAGCCTTCCATGTATGCTTTTTATGTATGCTTATATCATAAATAGAGATTGTATCTTAAGAACACATCATACATGTTTGTTCGTAAGCAATGGGATAGTTGATTTAGATCATTGTAATCCCCTATATCATATCAATGTTCACTTGAATGTTCCCAGAGACACGTTTTACTGTATCAATATAGCAATCCTCTATTGGAATTATTGCTTCAACAGTGTTCCATTGATTAAAAACACAAACTTCATCAAATGAGAAATATTAAGATGGAAACATATTCTAGGTCACTTATTTACGGATGAAGTACTATTGGACAGTGGTTTTGCCAGTCATTTCATTATTTTATGGACTTAAAATAAAAGTACACCAGAGAAAAATGAAGCCAGATTTCCAAAGTAAACTCAAGTACGGAAGTAAATATTGAACCATGTTTATTGTACATCTATAATTCATGGCTATTATGCGTTAGATCATATTTTCCAACACAGAATATGTAATCCCAGTCAATGACTACGTACCACCATCATTACCGTCTGGTAACAAAGTCATAAGTGGTGTCACAGATGAGTATGATAATGTTGGTCTCTCCAAGATTAGGATTGCAGACAATATACGTAAGTTTCAGCACCATTGTAGTCTAGGTCTATAGCTTACAGTCATTAGTGATTCCACAGTAGAATACGATAATGATGTACGTTCTCTCCAAGGTTAGGGTTGCACGCAACATGATAAGTTCTACCACCATTGTAGTCTAGGTAACAAAGTAATTAGTGGTGCCATATAATAATTTGATAATGTTGTTCTCTTCGAGGTTAGGATTGTGCACAATATATGATAGCAGTCCATAACTAAGTTACATCATCATTACAGCCTAGGTAACAGAGTCATTGGTGGCGCCACACGCTGTTTTTGCAAAGGTAACGAGTGCACACAATATGTAACAGCAGTCCATAACAAAGTTCTACCATCATTACAGTCTACAGTGTAGGTAACAGAGTCTTTGATGGCGCCACACAAGAGTTTAATTATGTTGTTTTCGCAAAGGTAACGAGTGCACACAGTATGTAATAGCAGTCCATAACTAAGATCCACCATCACTGTAGTCTACTGTAACAGAGTCTTAAGTGGCACAGCACCAAAATATGACATCATGTTATTCCCTCTAAGGGAAGGACTGCTAAGACCATAAAATCATCTGAAAGCACACAAAATAAAGAAAAAATCAACAATGATTTTCAGAGAAATGTTTAAAAGATGAGTATATTTTACTCGTCACTATAGAGGAGAAGGCATTAACACCAAAAAATGCCAATTTAACATTTAGTTAATTATTTTGAACAAAAATCAAATTTTACTAATGTAAGTTAAAATGCTTAAGTATCAAAGGAAAGTATCAAACAGCTAACAAAATAACCTTCACAAGCAAACAATGGTAATTTAAACACCACCCTCCCCATTTCAAATA